TCTCGCCTGCATTTCGCGCACTCGACACGCACGATCTCCGCAGAGGGTTGCGCGCGCAGCCGGCAAATCGCACTCTCCCCTGCATTTCGCGCTCTCGACACGCACGATCTCCGCAAAGGGTTGCGCGCGCAGCCGGCAAATCGCACTCTCGCCTGCATTTCGCGCACTCGACACGCACGATCTCCGCAGAGGGTTGCGCGGGCAGCCGGCGAATCGCACTCTCGCCTGCATTTCGCGCACTCGACACGCACGATCTCCGCAGAGGGTTGCACTTTCGGTTGACGCTGTTCGTCCCACCCTCCGCCTTTAAGAGAGAATTTATAGACCAAGGCTCATAAACCCTTGCAGCACATAAACTTTGGAGTGGGGAAATGTTTTTCATTAGGACATCTCCCGTGCTAGTTTTCCATGCTCACACTTGCCTACTCATTGCATGCTTGCATAGTCATTGCATGCTTGCATACTCATCATTGCACTCCATGCTCACACTTGCCTACTCATTGCATGCTTGCATAGTCATTGCATGCTTGCATACTCATCATTGCACTTGCATCATTACACGTGCATACTTTGACACTTGCATACTTTGCACTTGGATGCTTTCGCTCTTCCACTTACACTGGGGTACGTAACACTGGGGTACGTATAGCGTTCATGTTGTAGTGCAAGTGTGGTGGAAGTGTCAGTGTGTAAGTGTAAGTGTCGAAGTGTCAGTGTTCAAGGGATTTTCCGGAAGAACCCTTCGCAATGCGTTCGGGAAAAAAAAGCAAAATAAAAGCAAATGACAATGCAAAAACAAAGCAAAAACAAAGCAAGAAGCAAAAACAAAGCAAAACAAAAGCAAATAACAAAGCAAAAACAAAGCGCAATAATGGGCAAAAAAAATGTAGCTGTGCGTATTTGCTGCTTTTTTTCCACTGTTTTTTTCGCTTTATGTTCGCATGTTTTTCGGTTTTTTTTCCTAGGAGGGTACAGCAAAAACGCGAAAAAACAGCTGTACCCTCCCAGGAAAAAAACGAAAAAAACAAAAAAAAACAGCGAAAAAAAAGCGAAAATAAAGCTAAAAAACATGTGAAAATAAAGCGAAAAAACAAGTGAAAAAAAGACAACAACAAATACACACAGCTACATTTTTTTGCTTTTGTGTTTGCTTTGCCTTTTGCTTGCTTTTTGCTTTGTTTTTGCTTTATAAAACTATTTTGGCTCCTTGTATCTATGGCTGGCGTGCCCGACATAATTCTATGTTAGTTTGTGGGGGAGTAGTCTTCCCCCAGGGGTCATGTTCCACTTCCATGAGTGGAATGGTGGGCAATGGCCGGCGCGCACTGGACAGCTCGGAACGATGTGCTTGGAAGGTAAACATCTACTGACGTCAGTTGCTGGTAGATTCCTGGATCTGTCATGAAGACAAGTAACTCAAGCAAAAATAAACATGTTTGATCCAAGTGCCCGCCTACAAAAGTTCTTTGATGTTGGGAAACATGTGACAATTGTTGAAAATTGTAGTGTAACTAGTTTCATCTAATGTCTTAACATGTCTCTTAAGATTTTAAGTGTCATAGATGTTTTCATGGAGATCATATTGGGTAGCCTGCAACTCATCAGTTGTCGCTGTTGTCGCTTATCTTCACATCCCCAAAAGTACTCACATCTCCTATGCCCTCACCGTGCCGTGCGCCGTCGTCCACCGGACGGACACTCCCGTCCCGCCGGTCCGCGGGACGACCCCGGGGCACCCGAAGATTCGAGAGCTTCTGCTTGGCTTCAGTGAAGTGTTCGAAGTAAGAGGCTTCCTCTCCACCCACACGAGCGGCCTCGAAAACGAGGGAGGGCGGAGGGCGACCGGACAGGGCCTGCGGCCGGTGAGGTAGTTAGCAAATGGGGGGAGAAACAACGGAAAAGGATTTCCAGGATGTCCCCTTCCCAAATGCACGGCTTTCAATTTACAGTGGTTTCAGGGTACAAATGGCACTGGCCCCCCCAGGATGTCTTTTATGTGAGGGGTCCTATATAAACAACCCAACTTGGACATTTGTGTTATCGAACCTCTGAAACCATTGGCTCCAAGACCTGAATATGAGTTCCAAGACCTGCTCCGTTGACGTACCTCTGAGTACAGTAATGTAGACTCTTGATTAATAACCCCAGCCATTTGAATTGAAAATCGTCTTCATACGGGGGGTGTATTAATCAAGAGTCTACATTATATCATGATCACATGGCTTTCGTTCTTGGATCCCGTATCCACAACACCAGCATGGATGGAACTTGACCAACAGAAAGACTATGATGCACCTTCATGGCTGGAGGAAAGCATCACCACGCGACTCAAAATCAACCAAATCGTACCCACACATCCTGCAGAGTCGAACCCCAACCATTCCTCAAGTCAAGTGAAATCAACGCGATGAAGGTCACTTACACTCCGTGTCATTGCATATATTTATAAATATATATGTAAAAAAAAACAAACACATTTAAGGGGTGGTTACTAACCCGGGTGGTTGATTGAAAAGGGGTCCCAAACCAAGGCATGACAACAACACCGACTCGAGCACGGCGACTCGATTCGACCTACGTTTCAGGCGCCTCCCGCAGGGCCATGGTGAGCTCCGACTCGTCGCCGCTCAAGGCGCGGAGCAGCCTTGCGAGCGCAGCTCGCGCCCCCAAAGAGGGGAGTATGAGCTTGGTATCACGAAACTCCAAGGACCCAAGGCAAGATTCGGGGGGATTGTGACTAGTAGCTACTATATATCGTTCGTTGGAGAGGGCCTGTGTTCAAAACAAAAGTTATTAAAATAAAGTCGAACAAGTCGGTCCCAAAAGTCAAAGTCAAAAAAATGTTAGACAGTCAACAAAAAGTCTATTTGCCCAGTTCCGACTGTAAGTCATGTATAATGTGATTTCGTCAGACTGTGATCAAACCCCGGGATCCACACACCTGGACCGGCTTGACAGGGGGGGACCTGGACCTGATCGGCTTCCGAAACCCGACGATGGCATTTAATCGTTTAATGGCCTTCGCCGAACCCCCATGCTTTGCCGAACCCCATGGTTTTAGGAAGGACTTTACACCAGTCAACCCTTTTTGAAATGGTCGAACGGAAGGCCATAAATAGGAAGTCAAGTCGTAGTATACCAGGCTCCATACACCAGGATCACCAGGAGTCTCGGTCAAACACCTGTGGCTGAAAGGAAAAGGGTGTAAACACCTTCTTGTCTGATCACCTACAACCATGTCCCAGCAATGGAGAACCCACTGGAGAACCCAAATGTTTGTCAAGGTGGTACATGGATGAGGGATCAAGAAAAAAACAAATCATGTTCTTATGTCTTTCATCTACAGTGGTTTCAGAGGTTCGATGGCACACTGCCCAAGTTGGGTGGATATGGACCCCCCCCCCCAAAAAAAAAGAAAACAAATAACAACACATTTGTTTGGGGTAGTGCATGCCAGTGCCATCGAACTCACCTCTGAAACCCCTGTAGATGCCGGTGGTACCACTGTAAGATGCCGGGCAGCTGCAGCTCGCAGAGCCGGCGGAGGGCCGCGTGGAGCTTCGGCAGGTCGGCGCGGTGGTTCCGCTTCAGGGCGCCCTGTCGAGCACGGAAAAACACCGCAAAGACCCGGAGAAAGGAGGGCCAGGAGTCACATGTCGGGGTGTTTAGTCCCATCCAGCGAGTGGAGATAGCTGGGCACCCCGACTTCCTCCGTTCGTTCGGCACCCCGTTGACTGTGACTGCTGGGGGGGGGTTCTCCATGCATGATGTGATGATGTGTGAGGGAGCAGCTGGGCTTCTGAAAGCTGTGCAGCTGTTTTGCTTGAGCGCTAAGATTTGGAAAAGAACAGCACTTCAACCCTGAAGAGCCACATCTTTCGATGTTTTCCTCCTGAAATATTCCTGAAATTGGTGGATGTGATTGGCGGAGTTGTTCCTCGCCACCTCGGCCAGTTCCAGCTCTCAGAGCTCTGAAGGTTGAGAACCTGGTGCTCACACTCCCGCTACAGCCCGGGAAGAGACCACATGGAACCTGAAAGCCGCGGGGTTGTAGAGGCGATAGCCTTCCAAAGGTCCATGCCATCAGGTTCTTTGTGGGTCTCTTCCCAGGTGTATCTGTGTACCTGTGTACCTGCTTTTTCAAGAAACTATGACAAATGCTCAAGTATCATTTCAGAGTGGGCTTTCAAAGGCGTGTCGTCCTGGACCTCCCGTGTCACTGGACTCATCTTTTGGGACCGCCGCGTCGTTGAAGTCCACCGTCTTATGAATTCATGTCACTTTCACCCGGTTCTTTGGGCAGTTCCAGAGTCTCGGGAACCCAGACACGACCAATGGGACTGCCATAGGACTGCCGCCCCAGAAAGACCCTCCTGGCAACACCCCAACTGATCGGCATACATGGAGTGTCTGGGGAAGGCACTTCAGATGTTCTTTGTTTCCATGTCAACAGGCCGGAACGACCTGTTGTGGGATTGCCGGCCTGTCCCTACCCGCGGCCCATCTCAAATGACGTAAAATGGTCAAAACAACTGAACTATAGTTATAGGGTATATCCCATGACCAGTACCTGTGGATGATGACGCTTATATATTAGTAAATATTTTTCCAGCATGAGCTTTTAGCGAGGATCACTGGTGTGTGATACCGGTGATACCCCTAGTGTTGTAAATAAATTGATGTCACATATATATATATATAGATTTGATATATATATATAGGAAAACTGCTCGTGTGTTTCAGCTGTGTTCTTCCTTCTTCAACCGTACCCATATCATCCAGTACGCTCCAGAACAAACATATGAAACACGAACGAGGCTCGACAGAGCGAGCTGGAACCGTTTCTCCAGTCCCCCACCCAACTCCCACACGCCTCAGTCTCTTCCAATCTTCCACCAATTGTACGAGATGTAGCTGAACAAATGCAACTTAAATATCCCGCTCTTCACATCCGATAAGCCCCAACCACGGGGCTCCCATATCCATCTATGGGAGTCTTCACATCTGGGAGTCTTCACTAGCCTGCTCTTCATATTCATATCCTAGGCCCTAGCAGCTTCTTGCTCCCAGCAGCGGTGGCCTCCAACCTACTTGTGATGGCCTCCACCTAATAGCTTCTTGTTCCTAGTAGCTTCTTCATGTGTCCTTCAGTTCGTTTCAGTTCCCCGCCATCTGCCGCCGCGCCTCGATGGCCTCCACGGTGTCCGCCTCCAAGGCTCGGGCCAGGTCTGCGCACAACACGCTGCCCAGCCGCGCGGCCGCCGTCTCCTAAAGCGGCGATGAAAGCTGGGAGAAATGAAGAGGGAGCCAAAGTGGTGACCAAATAGATGAGAACTTTAACTATCTTTAACTTGAACTTTGAACCTTTTTTGGGGTGGAAGTATTGACCATTGAAGTTCCTCAGAACTTTGAACCTGTTGGGTAGAATGAACTTGAAGTTATGCTCAGACTCAGCCTGATGACAGATCCATCATGATCCATGCAACAAATAACACGTCATTTCGTGATCGTGTTGCCGTGAGGCGCCGAGATGAAGCGTCAAACATTTTTCTGTTGGTGCATTAATTGGTGGTGGGAACCAAATTCTGGAACTACCATGGTGTCTTGAGTCTTGGTACTTAGTATTGTAAGGACTAGCATCTTGCAACCATGGTGAAAGGACGCTAGCTAGTGGTTGGTGAGGATTGTGCGTCGTTAAGTCAAGCCACTTACGGATAAATGCAAGAAGGTCGCATAAAGTATCGACGTTCCAAAACAATTATGTTATGAACAACGCCCTAAGAACCATAGTTAAAACCTGATATGATTAGCCTATAAGTACATCCCATTAGATCCTCACACGGTAGTTCAAACAAACCCTACAAACCCACTCTCCCAGTCCCATGGTCAGAAAAAAGGCGCTGCTGTCTCCCCCCGGTCAAACCTCCGGCAACGCTAGGCCGCTATAGGCTATAGGTTCTTGTCTCTGCGTCTGAAACTCAAAATCCGAGAGGCTAGTTGACTCAAATCCACTTCACGGCCAATCTTCTTGCTGCGTAAAATCTGGTCCACCTGCTCCGAAGGGTTTGGCGTGAGCGGAAAGCCGCACGTAGCACAAGCTGTTCCGAGTCCGGTCAAGGGGGTGGGTGAAAGATGCAGATTTCTGCGATGGCGAGGTGGGAGAAGGGCTTTTGACAGTCACCCAAATGGAGGAGAGGGCCCTGGTTCAACCCTCCCAAAAAGAGTAGACCTCATTGGAAGGTGTCTTTTTTCCATGTCATTTGGACTGAACTCGGTGCCGTCGACTGGACCTGCTGGAAGTGCTCGGCGATCTCGTTGGGCGAGGGCGACGAGGCCTCGGTGCGCCGGGATCTCAAGCAGCAACGCGAAACAAAGGATGGATGTGGTTGTTGCACAGGTATACTCGTACATGTGTATATATATGTACACATATGTCCAGCGCCTGGGGTTTAAGGCGGCGTAGGGTATACATTACACGCATTACATACATACAGTTTCAGAAGTTACACTGGAACCTCCAAGCCTATATAAAAGTGGTTCCTATCACCCTCTCAAAGGGTATGTGGATCTGTAGGGTATATGTCTTTAGAATGAATGGGATCTCCGCACAAAGCATGGTGCAGGACTTCTTGTGGAAGTACCATTCACCTGGGAACCAATATATATATATATATATCCGTGATGATAGTGGCATGAGAAACCCCAAACACTCCATGTATGCCATATATGCCTACATATGCCGCCCCATTGGCCCCTCAAACCACCCCAATGTAGGCATATATAGTATTAGATAGTATTAGCATACGTACATGGAGTGGCATGAGGAACAGAAACAGCACATGCAAATCGCACGATCCCTGGAATGGCCCAGGTCATGGCTTCATTAGCTCGATCATCCACAGGATGTCTGGGTCTGAAATTTTGGAGGTCAGCTTACACCAGCAACACAAACACTTGTGACTTCAGCGTATACTGAACCATCGTCTTGTAACAGTGCCGGAAAAAACCGGTCGACCGCCCTGGCCCTCACCCGTGGTGCTTAACCGCGCCATGGCACATCCACGTCGGAGGGCAAGATCACTGAAATCCACTCGTCGCTGTAGAAATCCTGCGGAGCAAAGAAGATGAAGGTCACGCAGCAGCGCAACAGCTGGGTAGTATGGCGGGGCAGGGTGGAAGCGGCGGATGCCACTGAAATTCAAGTAATCACTTCGGCTTGGTACGACGTGAATGGCCGCACGGCAACGTGCCATGGCGACAGGAGCCGCCATGGCGAGGAATCCACCCTTCGAAATCGAAGAAAGACTGGGCAATCGACAATGCCCTACAAGTCAAAGACCTCATGTTACTGAAGTTGGTCATCCAAAAACACTCTTCAAGAAGGTAAAGGAAAAGGTCTGACTGGGTCAGCCTGGAGTTGTAGGGATGGCTCAGCCTGATCGATGGCTCGGTCGGAGGACTACATGAGGTCCATGGTGTCCATTGAGGTGGTCCATTGAGCCTGAACTGTGTCCATTGGACAACGCGACAATGGCCATGGCGAAGCAAGGACTCCAGGGCCCTTGGGAATACGGAGAAGTCTGAATGCAGAATGTTCTTGGCAC